TAGGTTGTACACCTTAAACTAATATGATACGGTACTAAAAATTTAAAAAGTAATTAAAAAAAAAATCTGTGTGACCCTGGCTAAGTAACTCAGTTGGTTAGAGCATTGTCCTGATATGTCAAGGTTGCAGGTTCACCTCTAGTCAAGGCACATACAAGAAGCCACCAATGAATGTATTAATAAGTACAGTAACAAATTGATGTTTCTCTTGTTCTCTCTCTCTCTCCCCCCCTCCCTCTTCCCCTTCCTCTCTCCCTCTCTTGCCCTAAAAATCAATCAATAAAAAAATATTTCTGTCTGGAAATTTTCCTGGGGTTTCCTCTTGATTTCTATCTTGGGGAACCTAAGAACCCCAATGCCAGTAACATGACATTAAATACATATCTGGATAGGAGATGTTGTAACCAAATTTTGATTTCCTTGTAAAATCTGAACAAATTTTTATGGGCTGTCCTATTTGTAACCTGCCATAGTATTCCAGGCCTCAACATCATTATTTTTCCTTTAGAACTAAGGTCATAAATTATGAAAAGCTTAAATCAAATGAAAATTTAAAGAGATGCCAGAATTTTAAATGAAGCATGGAATAAAACAAAGTTTAAAATGAATTAGAATTTTGAAATTATTACTAGAATTCTGTTTTCCATTAAAAGCTACCAAACAGAATTCAAACTATAAAATGTCATTTTAAATTCAGTGTTCAGACAATTCGATTTAAATATATATTGCCTTGGCTGGGTAGTCAGTTGGTTAGAGTGTCGTTCCAATACGCCAAAGCTGCAGGTCTAATGCCTGGTCAGGACACACACGAGTCAACCAAGGAATGCATAAGTAAGTGGAACAACAAATCAATGGTTAGCCCTGGCTGCCGTAGCTCAGTGGATTGAGTGTGGGCTGCCAACCAAAGTGTCGCAAGTTCGATTCCCAGTCAGGGTACATGCCTGGGTTGTAGGCCATGACCTCCAGCAACCGCACATTGATGTTTCTCTCTCTCTCTCTCTTTCTCCCTCCCTTCCCTCTCTAAAAATAAATAAATAAAATCTTTAAAAAAGTCAATCTTTTAATCTTTTAATCTTCAAAAATTAAAAAAAAAAAACAAAACAAAAAAACAAATCAATGGTTTTCTCTCTTTCCCCTCTTTCTCTCTTTAGATTCAATTTTTAAATAAGTTCCTTAATTAAGCCATGGCTAGTGTGGCTCAGCAAATTTAGTGCTGGCCTGTGAGTCAAAGGGTCGCTGGTTCAATTCCCAGTCAGGGCACATGACTGGGTGGCAGGCCAGGTCCCCATTTGGGGGCATGTGAGAGGCAATCACACATTGATGTTTCTCTCCCTCTTTTCTCCCTCCCTGCCCTTCTCTCTAAAAATAAATAAATAAATAAATAAATAAATAAAATCTTTAAAACATTTTCTTAAATATATATTAAAAACCAATTAAGAGTTTGTACCGTCCCAGGTTCAGGGACCTAAAGACCAATAAAAATATAGACCTTGCCTTCAAAAGTATATTCATGCAGTCTAGTAGAAAGGTTAAGCCATGTAAACAAAGAACTGCAAATTACAAATCAGCAAACAAATACATTAACTTTACAAGGTAAGACAAAAGCTCCTTTGGAGGGTAGGTGTTTGTTAATGACAGTTACCTGAAAGAACTGGTATCTAAGCTGGGTTTTGAGAGATAACAGGAATCTTTCAGGAAGACAGAAAGGGAAAGAGAATCTTGCCAAAAAGAATATGGTATAGGAAGCACAAAGACACAAAAACAGTATGTTCAAAGCAATACTACATTACTTAAGTGCTGGATTTCAGGAAAAAGGAATGCAGATGAAGTTAGTTCATGAAGCGTCTTGTGTACCATGTAAATGAGCAGGTCATTCATCTTGTAGCTGATTGAGAACCTCTGAAGGGTTGCCAGAAAAATGATAGAAACATATTTTCTTTTTGGAAAGATGATACTTTGTGATGGAAGATGCCTACCAGCTTTTCATATGCTGTCTCCTCCTTACCATTCATTCATTCATTCATGTATTTAGCAATCTGTCCATTATACACTAGGTCTGATTTCAGGTAATGAGGACACAGCAATAAACAAAAAAGGTCTCACCCTGACTGGTGTGATTCAGTTGGTTGGGCATCGTCCTGCAGAGTGAAAGGCCTCTGGTTCAACTTCCAGTCAGGGTACCTACCTTGGTTGCGGGTTCAGTCCCCAGTTGGGGCAAGTGCAAGAGACAGCCAATTGGTGTTTCTTTCTCACATCAATGTTTCTCTCCCTCACTTTTTCCCTCCCTTCCCCTTTATTCAAAAATAAATAAGTAAAATCTCAAAAAAACAAAACAAAGCTCTCTGTTTAATTGTCACTTCTTCAGAGAAGACTTCTTTGATCACACTATCTAAAATAGATTTTTAAAATAATAGCTTCTACTGTTATGCTCTACCACATGAAGTTCTTTTTCTAAATTTATCACAATTTATGATTATGTAATTATTTGTAATTACAAGATTACATAATTAAATACAGATTTGTAATTACTTACAGAGTATCTCAGTGAGCACACTGTATGCTTAGAAAGAGAAACTTAAAATCCTGTTCTTGTTTGTCAAGGCAGCTTAGTTTAGCTAGCCCTTAATGACTTAATAATTCATTCATTCAGTAATTACTGAATACCAACTATGTGCTAAAAAGTGGGGAGAGGAATACAGTGGAGAACATTATAGAAATGATCCCTTCCCTCAAAAAGCTGAAAGTTTAATAGGGTGATACATACAAGTAAAACAGGCAATTTCAATACTCTATAATAGAGCCATGACAAGGAAGGTAAGCCATGCCCAGCAGGGTCCCCAGATGTAGAACTGGGCAGGCAGCTAAACTTGCAGAAATAGGGAAGCAGTGGCTACAAAGGCTTAAGCCCTAGGCAGAAGGCTAAATGGGTACAATGTGCCAAAAACCAACTACCACAAAAGACAATGACATTTAGATGGCATTTACTGTGTGCTAGGCATTCTTTAAAGCACTTTATATACAATATTAATTATGTATTATTATCAATTTATTAATCACATATATTATTAGTTGACTCAAGCCTTACAACAATCCCACAGATATGTACTATTGTCATCCTCATTTTACAGAGAAGAGGTCTGAGCTACAGACAGCTAAGCAAAGTCTCTGCCATCACACAGCTGCTCAGTGGTAGAGATAAGAGTTGAACCCGACAGTCTGGAGCTAGTCTGAGTTGTTAGCCTCTATACTATACTGCTTTTCAAAAGTATTATCAATTGCTTTTCCTATTCTATTTTTTATTTCCTGTAATGAGAACTAAACTCTCATGCATGCTATGTTTTCAATAGCCATCAAGACCATAATTGATTAAATAAAATCAGGTCCTTTTCAACTTAAAGCATTAAGATATGGATGGCATAACTCTAAGGGTTGATTATTATCAAATGCCTGAAGAATATATTTGAAGAAACACTAAGATTTATTGAAAGTTTATAAAACCCCTTAAAACAAAAGCAAAGAATAAGAAAAAATGGGCAAAAATGTTTCACATTATCTACTAATGATCAATGTATTTACAACTTATGATCCAGAGATTCTACCCCTAGCCATCTACCCAAAAGAACTATATATGTATGCACATAGGCATGTGTGCGTGTATTTGTCTGTGTACTAGTAGGTTCACAGCAGCCCTATTTGTAGTGACCTTAACCTGGAAGCTACCCAGGTGTCTGTGCCCACCAAATATCACACGAGGCACATTAACTATGTTACAGACCTCAACTAAATATAAGCAATGAGAATGAGTGATTCACAGCTGTATACAACATGGACAAATCTCACAAATAGGATGTTACTAAAAGAAGCCACACACACAAGCATGTGTCCTGTATGACTCCATTTATGTGAAGTATAAAACCAGGCAAACAAAACCAATCAGTGCTACTGGAGTGGCTTCCCATGAAGTGGGTGAGTGGAAGGGAGTATGAGGCTATGGGAAGCTGATAATGTTCTGCTCCTGACCTGGGTGGTAGATACTCAAGTATGTTCAATCTGTGAAAATTCATCAAGTGTACACTTAATGGTACACAGACTTTTCTGCATATATGTTCTTCTATAAAAAGTTAAATGGAAGTTGGTATTTTTAAATATCTAGTCTATAATTTTTAATGAATTTAATATTAACAGAAATAAGTACATTATCATCATCACTAATATCTGAGTGCTAACCATGTAGCAGGTACTATATTAAAAGTCTTACATCAGTGAATCTCACTTAATTCACAAATATCCTATAGAGACAGGCACCATTATTAACTTGATTTTCCGATGAGAAACTGAGGCTCAGAGTCATTACGCAATGTGTTACAGAGGAAAAACCAAACTCGGATGACCCTAACCCTAGGGAATATATTCTTAACCATCTAGCTATACTAAATTGTACGTAAAGGAGAATTCAGGTGATGTCAAGGCAAGAGAGAGACACTGGTCTTGAAACTTGCCCCACATGAGTGTTCAGTCACCTTATTTTCCAGGTGGAACCTTCAACTGGCCAAATTAAGGTGTAACAAGCAACAGCCTAGACAATTTGTTCTCATAATCAAATCACTCTCTTTAGTTATAGCATATTTGTTCAGGCCTGAGAAAATATAAATGTTAAAAGGTTTCTAAAACCAAACCCCATTTTCTTAACTCTATTCTGTCCCTTAAAATTTTTTACTCCAGTGATAATAAAGTATATCTTTAATTTAAGAAAATGTAACATGGCAGAGGAATATTAGTACAGCTAAACTTTAACAGATCATTAATCTTTATGCTATGTTCATGGGGCTCTATCTGAGAAAAGGCTGATGATCACATCTACAATGCAGAATTAACAAGCACTTTAATGAATGGAGACAGAACAAATGTAATCATGTAATAAAGTTTTAACAAAGATAACATAGGGAAAATAATTCCATAATTAATTATAACATTTGGCAATTTACCAACATTAAATTTACCTCTTTGGAGGGGGAAGCGTGAGAGGTGAAAATTGTCATCCAATAGGACCATACAAACATAACAAAGAACAGATGGAAAGCCACAAGGTAAACAACGGCCTTTCCTGGTAAATAAAAACAACATTTCATTGAATCCTGGTGAAAACAGGAAAAAGCACGACATTAAAACACAATATTTAGGGTCAAGAGGTTTAATCTAACAAAAAAAATTAAAACATACTAAAGACATCAAATACATTAGGTCCTTTACCTGCATGAGGTAAAGTTACAGGTATGAAGGAACGTTTTGTTTTTAAGGGTTATCATTCTAGTTTATAAGTAGTATAAGACTGGTCTGAGATGAGACTTGATTTTATTAAGCTGCTGAAGATTAAGTTGAAAACACCTCTTTAACTGATGGCATTTCAAAGCTTTTCCTAAGAGTTAGACTTTAAATGACTTGAAACAGATTCCATTACAATGAACACTAAATCCAATAAACTATGAAGTAAAAATAAATAAAAGAAGTTCCTATCACAGCAAATAATCAGTACATCAGAAAAACTCAATCCCTGGATTGTTCAGAAAAGGTATTAAAAATTTTATTGTCCTTTTCAACACAGGATAAAAAATTTTTAGCCACTTTGAATTTCTGCCATAACTGTTTCCCATGTGGATTAGGGTAACACTCCACCATCTTTATCTCCAAATATTAAACTCACTGAAATAACTTAAAGCTTTATGTTGGGTTCTGTAGTTTTTCTATTTGGAAGAAATGGGACTAGTTTCCACAAGAAGCAAAAACTATCTACCAGGTGCTTAATTTCTAAGTTTGAAACTTAATACCACAAACCCACTGAAAAACAAAGTGTAAGTTTTAAAAGTGTTTTAAAGTTCAGGTCAAATACACTATTTTTTCCACAAAAGCCTTCTCCATTACCTCTAGAATTCATTACACCCTCATACTCTACTCTCCAATTAATTTACTCAGACTTTAATTAAACCACTTCACTCGATACATTAAAGTTAGTTGCTTAATATTGATGAACTAATAAATGCAAAACACTTAGGACAGTGCCTGGCACATAATAAATCCTCAATAAATACTGGTTATTATTACTTTCCAGGCATCTTAATTCCTTTTCAAAAGGTGGTTCTTGTTTGTATTCTCTTTGTCAGCATTTCCCAAAATGAAAGACTAATAAAAGTTTTCATTGATCTACAGTGAAATGAAAAATACTAGCAATAACATGGTAAAGCTTTTATAGAGCTAACATGTTTTCAGTTCAAAGTACTGTTCTTCCTATGGTCTGAGGTTATTTTTCCTTATGTTTTTGGTTTTAAAAATGTTCTTTTTCAATTAAAAAGTGACAACTTCTTGGACCCCAGCATTTTCTATTGCAATTATCCTGGTCCAGGAGACAGGAAAGAAGCCTACAGGAAGCCAGGACTCAATGGCTCCTCACATCCTAAAGCTTATCAGTAAAAAATACTTCAAATTCTAGCTCCTAAAATCTCTTTCAAAGTAAACTTTTCATTACTTTCACTGCCAGTGCAATAGTTCATAAACTGTTGCTTATTTCACTTGGATTAATGCAAAAGTCAATTGGTCTCCCAAGTCCAGTCTCTCTCACTTCCAACCCATCTCAGTTGGCAGTATAAAATGTGTTGCTTATTCCCCCACCCCTTGGCAGTGAAATTCCGGGGAAGTTAACTCCATCTATGTAACTAGTGAATTCATTCTAAAACTCTGGGACTTCCTAGTAACCATATCTGACCATAGTTATTCAAATCATCACTTTTGCCACTGAAAGTCTAAGAGATGGCATATAATAAGACCTTATTTCTAACCCTTACAACAGTCTGGTAAGATATTCTTTCAGTTTACAAAGGTAAAAACTAAGTGTCAGGTATTTAATCTCTTGCCCAGTTTCATTTAGCTACTAAATGAGAAACCCAGATTTCAAACCCGTATCTGCTTGATAAAAATCCAAGGTTCTTTTCACTATGACATACTTAAAGTTGCATTTTCCTTCACTTCTTGAACCATCATCATAGTGTTAGCATAGGCAGCTAGTTAGGTATTAACCAAAGAGAAGCAAAACTGGCTAAGCCTGTCTAAGTCAGGAGGCTAATGCTTCACAGACACCCCACATGAGAGCCCTATCCTCCACCAAAGGGATGTTAATTTTGGAGCAGACAGGAAAGACCAGCTTTCCAGTCTCCCTGGGAGAACAATCCATCAGTTTGCAGGGACTGGGGAGGAGGAGAATAAACAGGGAAAATTCCTTTGCTGAGGTATGTGCAATAGGAGCAAAAATAGCGACCATAAAGGGGAAGAGAAAAACCTAGGAAATGGGTTGGATAGCAGGAGGTACCAGCAGAGGCCCGGGAAGATCCAGGAAAGAGATTGTGTAGTTTGAAAGAAAATTTACTCCTTCCCAAACTCACGGAAATATAATCAAAGCTTAACAAGGCCCAAGTCTCACATACACACTCTCTTTCTGCAGCAGCCTTGGGGACCAGATGGGAACAGAGACTATGCTGGACTACTGGAGTCTTGGATCCCGGGTTAATGGCACTGCAGCTCTGAGCCCTGACTTTCCTCCTGGACTCAGTGGGGACAAGTTTGGGACTGTGACCCCAGAGCCTGGACTTCTGAAGTAACACAGCACTGAGCCACCAGGTTGTGGAAGACACAGTATAGCACCCTCTTCAGGGGCATCTATGTCCTGTGTGCCCTTCCACTAAATCTTGCTACTACTACTGTTCAAATCCTCCTATGTGTGAGTCCCCAAAATTCATTTCCTGCAACTTAGCAAGAACCTATTTCCACACTGGTTTACCTCAGGCAACAACAGTGATCACAGCCTACTTTAAAGCCAACATTTGATGCCAAGATAAAGTCCTAACTACAACCTCCTTCTATTTTCAAATTTGCTTTCTTTTCACTTCCATTAAAATTGATTGTCATCCTCACTAAAAATACTGTTTTTTCAAATTGCATTTTGTATCATCTCAGCTCCCTCCACGTTGAATCCCATGGTCCACTCAGTAGATTCAATACCATTCTTTGTTCTTCCTTTGGAAAAGCATGCTGGAGCTCAGTCTCCTAATGTTACAACCAACTGTCATCTTCACCTAACTCACTGTACTTTATTTGTGCCTGGCCTGACATTCAGTCAAGTTTGTCAATCCTCATCTATACACTATTGTATAGCTTTGAAATAAATGGTAGCCTATAGTTACCGTAAACCTCTTGACCATTTAGTTACTTACAATTAAAGCTAGAATGTAAAACAATATAGCCTAAAAACATTTAACACAATTTTAGAATATTTCTGCTCTCCATAAGAACAAAAACAAAATGGCTTTTGCTTTAAGAACCCGTAACTCTCACTTACAAAACCTAGGTACATCTCTCAGCATAATGCCTGAAATATAGTAAGTACTTAATAGGACACAAGCCCCTTTTTCAGATCTTCTTTCCCAGAGCTAGCTGGACCCTATAAAGCATGACTGACCCTAACTGTTTTAGAGACTTTATCCTCAGAACTAGAAAATTACTAGAAGCCCCCTAAAGGTGCAGAAACTCTAGGAACTTATGAAACAGGATATACCAGACTACAACCATCTAAACAGGACCCTCTGCCTTCGAAACAAGTTGCAGCCCAACTGAAACCTCCTGCTCTACGACCACCCCATTACCTAATAAGTGCCCAAAGCCCTAACCTCCTGGGGCTGGTGCATTTCTCCACACCTAGCCCTTTCCCTTCCTTGGGAAAGTAAAAATAAAAACTTTGCTCTCTGTATCTTCACTTTGTGAGTTCTTTCACAGCCCATGTAAGTCAGGGGCCTGCTACATGCTGCCTGACACAGAACCTGCCTGACTAGAAATGCAAGCAGACCATGAGGAGCCTCTTGACAAAGAAAATTCCTGCCTAAGATTGATTAATAGCTACTCACTCATACCTTATTGTTTACCCATACCATAAAGGGAGAACACAACACCACAAAATATACCTTGTAAAGGTCAAAATTAATCTCAACCTCTTTCTACTTTCTATTTTCCCATACCAGCAATTTTCCACAGAAACTACAAACAGATATAAGCTCAACCTCCAGATACAGTTGAGGCCTCTCTTCCTTCTTTAGTGAGAAGAGTCCACTACTCTGTCTATGGAATGGGTTTTCTTGCTTGTTCCCTCTTCTCAATAAAACCAACCTGCTTTTCCACTTTAACCTCTTATCTGACTTGAATCTTAAATTCTTCTTGGCTTGGGTATGGAGTTCCCATGTGGGACTCCCCACTCTGGCATCAAAATTATGATGTAAAAAATAGAAAATACTGCTTTTAAACAAGCTTGAATTAATGTGATTGCCCATAACAAACTTCTGTGCACACATATGTGCTGGAAGAAATATATAAAGTAAGTTAACTAAGCAAATTAAATCAAAGCTGAAAGAAAAAAGGAACCTATAAATCAAAAAGCCTGATTCATAAATTACCTGTAACTGAATTAAAGACAAACCAAGCAAGCAAACAACTTCATCAAAAGACTCTTTGGAAGACATGGGGAAAACAGTCCCAAGAAATCAAGATACAAATTAAAAGTTCTGTTGTAAGAACTTCAGAAATTCTTTGCTTTCTGTATGTGCTCATTCAATATATGGGACACAGTTTTGATTTAAAGGAAGAAAAACAAATCTACCAAGATTGAGTCTGTTTATTCTGTTACTGAGAAATGAGATTCAAAGCCATCTTGAGATTTACATAGTTCATGCCTTTTCTGTATCTTAAATCATCAAATTTTATTCCTGAAATCTGTCTCACTATACCTAAAATTTTATTTTATCTCAGTGAACTCTGAGCAAATATTTTTCCCTCTAGTCACTGTCTTTGACTAGTCATGATAAAAACTTTTAATTCCCTTTCAAAATGAACCAGTAATACAATTTACAAATTTACAGTCTATTTAACTAAATGTCTGTGAGTACTAAAGTACAATTTTTAACAAATGTATAAACAATAGAAAATAAAATCCCTTCTTCCGCCCTAAATAGTTAATATCCTTGAACTATTATTATAGAGTTCTAAAGAACACACAAGGCAGAAATATGTACATCAACAAAGTTTGGGTACCAGATGCCTTACAAAATAACAACTATTTTAATTTATATAAATAATGCAAAGAAGAAAATATTGAATATATAGAAATGAACACAGTATGACATCTCATTTTAACTACCTAAACTTAAAAAATATATATTGTCTTTCTGAAAACAAAAACACATAGTCATCACTAAATAAAAAGAATGTGGGTTGTAATTATGATACCTTAAGTAGTCTACTTAAATTGAGACTAAAAGTACCTTACCATTTTCTCCATTTCCAGAAAGAGTAACTAGAACAGAAGAAAAAATAGTGAATTAATGTACTTTAAACATCTTGTACATAAATTTTATCACAGGTTGACTATTCATCTTAATATCATTTTCATAAAAATAAAGTTTAGTTATAAAATGTAAACACTAATGCAACTTCAGAATTACATACTCTAAAACATACTAAAAACACTAAATTGCTAAAACTCAGATTCTTCTTCATCATTGACACTGCAATTACATTAAACATTTCTTTCACAACTTTGTTCATTTTAGGTGTATCCATACGGTTATAGTTGTGCTGTTTCTTTAGCTGTTTCCTTGGTGCTACCTTGAACAGGACTCCTCTGTGACACTCATAGTTACTTAATTAGTCTATCATGTACCTCTATAGAGTTTTTCCTCAATTTCTTTGGCATAATATTTGCATCTCTTTGCTTTTACAATGAAGATCTTAGTTCCCAATTAATTTACTTAATTTGGCTTATCCTAAAATGTAAATAAAATAGTTTTAAAACTGCATACTAGTGTATTTCTTTGCAGCTTTTTCATTTCATTTGGTTTTGGCTTTAAACTACATCCCACTAAGGAGTACTATGTTCAAAAGTCACTTGAGGCCCAGGCCAGGTAGCTCAGTTGGTTACAGCATCATCCTGATGCACCAAGGTTGCTGGTTCGATGCCCAGTGAGGGCATATACAGGAAGCAACCAATGAGTGTATAAATGAGTAGAACAACAAATCGTTGCTTCTGTCTCTCTCTCTTCCTCTTCTCTCTCAGATTAGCAAATAAAAAAACAAACAAAAGAAAAAACAAAAGAAGAAAACAAGAAATAATTTAATAAACTAAGTTCATTTATCATGATTTCAGATTTTACAGTTTGCTTTTTTCTCTCTTTGTTTTAATTTTATTTTTTCAATATGCATAAAATGTCAATGGTTTAAAAGTCAAAGTAATATAAAAACGTACTCAGAAAGGCCTGGCTTTCATTCCTCATTCCAAGTAATCATTTTTATTAGTATTTGTTTTATCCTTCTTATATTTTCTTTTAGCAAAATAAGCATGTAAGTATATACATGGTGGGGCAAAAGTAGGTTTACAGGTGTTTGTATGGATGATAATACAATAATTAATAATACAAGAATAAACCCTGTTTCACATACTCACAATTGTAAAGCTACTTTTACCTGCCCTGTTATTTCCAATCTCTCCATTTATAAATCATTCCACACTTTGCTTTTTTTTTTTTTTTATCATTACATGTGAGTACATAGACACAACCATGGCTTGTTTGTACAGCACTGCACAAGCCTCCATTGTGTGGGGGTTCCATTAATACAATCAGGCCTCTATTGATAGACATCTGGGTAGTCTCCAGTTTACTGATGCCACAATGTGGCAATGAATAATGTTATGCATGTGTTATTTGTGAAAGTTTATTTTCAGTGTAGATGCCAATAGTGGGATTACTGGACAAAAGTAAATCTGCCCGCTTATCCCCCAAATCCTCATTATAGGGGTTGTACCATTTTACACTCCTACCAGCAATGTATGAAACTGCCTGTTTCTCTACAGTATACCCAATAAAGTGTTTTCAAATTTTGGTACTGTAGGGTAGTTTCACTTTGCATTTATCTTATAAATGAGAGTAAGCATCTGTTCATAAGTTTATAAGCCATTTTCTTTCTTTTTTTTTTTTTTACTGTGAACTATCTATTTACATCACCTATCCTTTTTTTTTTTCCCCATGGGGCTTTCCTTAATCTCTGGTTATAAGACCATCCACTCACATTTTGTTCTAGTACTTGAATGCTTTTATTTTTTACGTTCAGATTTGTTCCACTTTGAAATGATGGATTCCAGGGGCAGGAAAAGTATCAGATAAGCTTTAAAAATCCTGTTGCCAAAAAGTAAGGAAGAAATAAACGATGGGGACATGTCAGAAAGACAGAGAAACCAAATTGAAAGAGATCCTATTGGCCAAGTCTGGGAGAATCAGAACAACAACAACAATAATAAAAAAAGGTAAGATCATAACCCATAAAAGAAGAATCCATGAGACCATGCACATATAAATGAGTAAATGACCGTGACTGGTGTGGCTCAGTCTGTAGGGTATCATTCTGCAACGTTAAAGGTCACCAGTTGGATTCCCAGTCAGGGCACACGGCTGGGTTGCAGCTTCAGTCCTGGGTGGGGGTGTGTACAAGAGGTAACAGATCAATGTTCCACTCTCATGTCAATGTTTCTCTCTCCCTTCCCCTCTTTTTGTAAATAAATAAATAAGATTTTTAAATGAATAACTAAAAATGAGAAGGAGGGAAACCTCTTCCTTACAGTAGAATTCTTATGTAGAAGTAATCATGGAATTAGAAAAATCACCATCTGACAACCAGTACAATAACTGTTTCAAGCAAGAATCTGCAGAGATGCTAAACACTGTAAGTGCAAGAAATCAGGAATAGATTTCCCCACAAAGATATTGTTTGAGTTTCTCTGGAATCAGGTGCTGAAACAGAGTGTGAGGTACAAAATGTTTACTTAGGATCAACAAATAAAGAAAAATCTTTATTTCTACAGATGCCAAAAAGGCATTTGAAAAATCCAGTATCAATTCCTGATTTTTTAAAAAGATTTTATTTATTTTCAGAGAGAGGGAAAGGGAGGGAGAAAGAGAGGGAGAGAATCGTCAATGTGTGATTGTCTCTTGTGTGCACCAAGCTGGGGTCCTGGCGTGCAACCCAGGCATGTGAGCTGACTGGGAATCGAACCAGCAACCCTATGGTTCAGAGGCCCCCACTCAATCCACTGAGCCACACCAGCCAGGCCAATTCCTTATTTTTTTTTTAAAAAGTTAATAGTCCTGGCTCCCTCCCTTTGGCAATATACTCTGACACTACCAGCAGCTCATAGCAAAATAGGCACATGCAATATGATCTTCAAATACAGCTAATTAAAAAAAGAATGTATATTCTTTATATATATATATGCATGTGTGTGTATATACATATATATAAAACATGTATATATTTTATATATATATAAATATATATATAAAACTGTGTAAGAACATGCTCCTTCACTCACTAAAGTATGTATGGGGTGGGGGGAGAGAACAACACAACTCTAACCTGCCAAAAGAGGGGAAACAAGAGAAAATATGCTAGTGGCTACTTAAATTTTCTCCCCACTCCCAATAACATTTGAAAACCTACTCTGCTAAGAATTTACATTATTTTGTAAGACAGGTATTATCTAATTTTATAGCATGGGAACAAGTTCAGAGAGCTCATTCAACAAACACTAAAATATACAAAGAGGCCAGCATGGCAGCCATAGAACAAATTAAAGGAAGAATAGAAAAGAAATTATGGCAGAGAAGTAATGAGGGGAAGACAACATGGTAAAGACTTACAGTGTTCCACTGAACAAGGTTTTCAGAAGAGGAGTGATGAATCTGGTATTAATTTTAAAGGAATCATTCTAGCTGCTTCATAGAAAATAGGCAAGGTATAGTGTAAGGATGGTGTTGGAGCAAGAAGGGAGAGACAAGATATAAGGGTACTACAGTGTTACAGGTGACAATGCTGTATAACACACCACTCAAAACTCAGTGACTTTAAACAACCACCGTTTATTATTTCCTATTAATTGTGTGTCAGCAGTTCTGGCTAAAATCAGGTAACTGTTTTTTCTACTAGACGTAGTCAATTGGTAGCTTGACTGGGGCAGAAAAGTCTAAGATGGCCTCATTCATATTAGGGGCTTTGGCGCTTCGCTCACCTTGGCCAGACCTCTCTCTCTAGCTCAGGGGTGACCAACCTGTTGCCCTCTGGTCTCATGCAGCCCAGGATGGCTGTGAATGTGGCCCAACACAAAATCATAAATTTACTTAAAACATCATGAGATTTTTTTTGTGATCACGTGTTGCACTGTATTTAATGTGTCACCCAAAACAAGGCTTCTTTCAGGGTGGCCCAGAGACACCAAAAGGTTGGACACCTCTGCGTCTAGCCTAGACTTCCTTACATGGTGACCAGAACATTCCAAAAGAGCTAAAGTGAAGATGCATGCTGTCTTGAAGCCTAGGCTCCAAACCTCACATATCACTTCCACTACATTCTATTGATCAAAGCAAGTACAAGGCCAGCCCAGATTCACTGGGTGGGTAGACAGACACCAACTCTTCATAGGAGGAAGTACAAATTACTATGGGCATCTTTTCCAATCTAGTGCACAAGACAGAGACTATGGTGGCTGGAATGAATACAGTTGCAGCAGCAGTGGTGAGAAGCAGCCAGATTTCAGTACTTTTAATGACAGCATTTACTGATTAGTTAGATGTGGAATGATTTTTCAACCAACAAACTGGAATGATGAAATTCATTTACTGAGCTAGAGTAAAAGGAGCAGGTTCAGGAAAGAGAGAGAAAACAAAAATCTCAAGTTTTATTTTGGACCTGGTAAGTGAGATATCAACTAAATATCCAAGCAGAAATGTCAAGAAAGCAGGTATTAGACTATGAAAGTTAGCATGGGAATCGAAATATGGGCTGTAGGTGGGCTGAGTCACCTAGGTGATTCGATGTTTTGCCAAAACCTCTGCAGGAGATGTGCTGCATGAGTGGGCATGTTATTGTGGTGAAGCTGCCAGTCACCCATGGCCCATAGTTGCAGCCTTCTGAATCATCTGAATAGTTTCCACAAAGGAATGTTCAAGCTTAAAATTGAATGCAGATTCATTTTTCTTTCATTTTTCTTTCTGCTCAGTCATTTTGAATGTGTTGGCCACACAGTACACATGCTCACTAAATGGTGTCTATTGCCCCCACTGACTACTACAGTGAAATTATCATTGTTCATGCACAGGCATTCTGGGGCAGGAGGAGCAGAAAGAGGAGTACTAATCATAAAAAAGAATAATGAGGCTCTGGCTAGATAGCCTAGTTAGGGGTTCCATATCTAGTCAGAGTATATGCAAGAATCAACCAATAAATGCATAAAGTGGGACAAAATAAATC